TTCTTTGGTTGACCATGGCGAGGCCTGTCCTGAGTGGAACCTGTCCTGTTGAACCACTGTATGGTCTTGGCCACCGTGCTGCAGCTCAGTTTCAGGGTCTTGGCAAGCTTCTTATAGCCTAGGCCATCTTTATGTAGAGCAACAATTATTTTTTTCAGATCCTCAGAGAGTTCTTTGTCAAGAGGTGCCACGTTGAACTTACAGTGACAGGTATAAGGGAGTGTGAGAGCGGTAACACCAAATTTTACACACCTGCTTTCAATTCACACCTGAGACCTTGTAACACTAATGAGTCACATGACACCGGGGAGGGAAAATGACTAATTGGGCCCAATTTGGACATTTTCACTTAGAGGTGTACTTTAGACATTAATGGTTGTGTGATGTGTTATTTTGAAGGAACAGCAAATTTACACTGTTATACTGTATTACTACTACTGTATTAAACTATAGTCAAATAATGTATTCAACAATTATTATAGTGAAATCTTCATTTTGCACTTCTTTGTCTTTCCTGTCACTTCAGACTCTACCTTCACTCTAGTCCTCAGCTGTTCTTGCTGTTCCCCAGTCACCTGATCATCACCTGCCAGCCCACCTGCCCCTCATTCACCTTAATTAGCTACTCGGTTTATGCCCACTAACAAGCGTCTTCTGGCTGATTGCCAATAAAGTAGTAAGACCCAGCTAATTAACTACTAAGAGAAGGGCATACCTAATTTCATTTTAAGGGTTTGGTAAACATCTCCTGTCAACACAACTCATGAACATGCTTACATAATGGCACTGTTTTACATATGAAAACATAATTACAAACTACTCATCATGACCTCCTAAATCTACCATCATGCTGCATCTTTTTTTTAAAAGTATGAAAAAAGAAAATGAGTTTTCAAGTTGCCAAATAAAATTTGCTGCAGAAGAAGTTGAATGAATGAAACACTAGAAGCCAAAACTGTAGGTTTCAGCCATTGTATGTGATATTCGAGTCAATATGATTATGGCTTAATAACTTTGCAGTTGATATGTTTCTTAATACCTTTATGACACACATTAAGTCATCTTGTAACTAACAACATGTTGAATCACATTATCATTAGTAAACAGAAATAAAAAGGGTAGTTATTTTATAAGAAACAAGGTTGCCTTCTTCTAAAACTGTATTAAGAGTCTGCACTGTTCTTTCTAGAGGACTGGGCACTTTAAAGGAACTGGTAGTATGTGTGAGTGTAACTTGTACTTTTCTGAGCTGCATACCATAGCCTACATGCACAAGCATGCAAACAAACACCTGCACACATCCATGTACACACATGTGCTTTCACCTCTTCCTCACTTATTTATTCTACTGCCGTGCTCACTGTCACTCTGGAAAATCACATCAGATAAATACCCAAATAAAACTGTCCTCTGAGCATCAACGGAAACGCTGATTTACTGAGCTTCTCAATTGACTTGACGGGAGGATTTGCTTGAAGCCATCTTGGGAACTGTCGCTATCATTTGCAGCTAAATCAGCAGTGTGTTAATCACCAGCTTCTGCCGGCCTCATAGTCATTCATTCAGACTACACACGGGTAATACACATCCTCAGAGGTCATAGCAAGCCATGAAACAAGCAACCTTTTCACAAACACACATCCTAATAAAACACTCTTCTGTTTAAACAGCATGTCTGTCATACCATACATTTATACACATACAGTGTTTGCTACATACAGGTTTTGTTTTCTAAAAATATAACTCCTGAATTTCATAGACTAAAGGCTTAATCAAGAAAAGTCTGTAAGAAAAATCTGTATTGTGAAATAATGAAAATAATTGTTCACCCAGCAACAAGTAGAAGAAGAAAAATACTGTTAATAGCAAAGATCGAGAAATATAAATATCCAAAAGTGATACAGTACGCACAGTAACGTAGAAGCATAAACAAAAACATATACTAGAGCACTTAATTTTCTGTGTATCCAACAAGTATGCAAACATAAAGTATTCCAATAATTATTTTCCTATCATATGACATTCTTCAGTATAACATGACACCGTCTTCTGTAGAACGTCACTAGTGCTCATAATTTTGGTTTTGGAAGCATATAGTGGAAAAAACAGCCCTCATGTTAGGCGTGTGTGAACCTGCTCAGTCCAACTTTCCAATAAATACTCCTCCTACTTCATACAAGGAACAGTTCAGCTGGTCTACGTGCTGTTGCCACATTGCTTTGTCCTGATAACAGGCCACTTAACTCCATCACATAGTTAAAGGAGTGGAATATTTCTGTCTCATCCCTGAGTGGGAAGCTGACACCAGAGACATCTCTTTTGACTGTCCACAGTGAGTCAGCTGCAGTAAATGTTTCATTCTGACATGCAGTAATGCTCTGTGGTGAAGGAGCTCATGCTAGTCTTCAGATGAATTAAAACTAAGTGCATGTGGCTGTGTGAATAGTGCACCAGGACCCTCTAAGTGTGCAAGTCACAGTACTGAACAAAAGAATGCAGAAGTCAGAATATAAAATTCCTGCACTTGTCCCACAAAACGATATGAGAAAATGTATTTTTAGAGATGTCATAAGTGCACTAATGACTCTCTGGCTCTGCCCGAAGCTCTCTGACTGTTGATGCCGCCGGCCACTTTCAGACTCGGATTATGGGTCTATATTTGCAGAAGATGCATTCGGAGCAATTATCAGGGAAATCCAGACAATATGGCTGGATTTAAAAAGACAGGTCATTTCGTTTGGAAGAGATTTTATTGTTGCAAATGTATGACATCAACAGTCTCCTGCAGCACTAGCCCCAACAGATTCTTCACTGTGCTACCAAACTCTAAAAATGACAGAGACTTACTGTTTGTATTAATGTGATGTCTGCCATGTCCCTGCAGTTTATATCAGGAGACTGGAAACAGGTTTACAAATTGAAATTAGTACAAATACCCAAAGCAGCCAATGTGCATGAGCTTGTGAGAGAATGCGTGCAAAAAAAGCTAATTACAGTATGCTTGTCCAAGTTTTAAAAGTGGCATAAAAAAACACTGAGCACAGCTGAAAAATGATGAATTCAACATTTTGGGGAAAACAGCATATTCTCTTTCTGGCAGAGTTAGTTGAGAACATTGATGCCACCGTCTTGTCTTTATGGTAAATATGAAGCCACAGATAGCAGGCAGTTAGCTTGGCTTAGCACAAAGTCTGGAAATGGGGAAACAGTCAGCCAAAGGTAAATAATCTACCTTCCAGAACCAATAATACTCACTAATTAACAAGCTATATTTTGTTTGTTTATTTAATACTAAACTCAAGTGTAAAAACTACAAGTTGTGGTTTAATGGTGGGTTATGTGTGGGACTATTTCTTGGCAGGGGGCAGTGAGATTTAGCAGTGCTGCAAGCAGACTTTTTTTTTAACCTGCCAGGCCAACTGTTTCAGTTGAGCTAAGCTAAGTGGCTGCTGGTTGATATTTACCAAACAGTAGTGAGAGGGGCTTCAATCTTCTGATCTAACTTTAGTTAAGAAAGCAAATAAGCACATTGCCCAAAATGTCATGCTTTTCCTTAAAACTAGTCCAAGTACTGAGATGTAGATTGTGGGTCTGTCTGTTATTTAATTGAAATATAATCTGCTTGCTTACCGGGTAAGCTTTATAAGTTACAGTACATATATTTGTGAGTTATCTTTTTTATAATTATCTTTCATGTTAGATGAAGGCTTGCTAAAGTGGAAAATCACTGTAGACGTTTTCTCAAACCATTGCTGATTTTTTAAAGCACAAATCTAGCATGAAATGATCTTTTCTGTCAGCATAACAGAAATAGTTGAAACATGTACTTTGGAGGTAAGTCACTAGGGGCACCTGAACAAAGCTCCGCCCCGCAGATGCCTATGGGTGCCAAGCTGAAATGGAGACCTGCCTCCAGGAGGAATGTTTACCCAAGCTTAGCACACAGCCTTTATTACTCACAGCGGCATGAGTAGATTTCTGTCTGCATTTCACTTCTGCACCAGCTCTAAGCCATTTCAAATTAAGACCTGTCCAAAATGAGCCCCCCTGCAATGACAAGAATAGCTTATTTTAAAGACACAGAGAGGAGTGAAATTAACTGTGTGTGATCAAGTGTAAAGTAACTGTACACCGGGAGTGGAGAAAAGGAAGGGAGGAATTTGAGAAAAAGGATTCCAGAAATTCCTAAAGGTTTGAGCTAAATAATGTATTTTGAGCAGGGACTTTGATTTGATTTGAACAGTTTCATAAATATTCCCTGTTAAATTTGATCAAATAAGAAGTAGCCAAAGGATGAATAGACGCACAGATCAGAAAATTCTCTTAGCAACTTCTCCACAGTCATTATCAGATGTAGGCCAGCACTGAATCTGACCAATACACTGTAACTGTATTTTAATGTAGATTTTTCTTCTACTGCCAGCACTAAACACTTTTCTCACATGTATTTTGGCTGTCAATATTGTGTCATTCAGGTGGAGTGCAATTCAAGATATGAGGAGCTTCATGTTGTACACTTTTCCTAAGAATATGCAGCTTGTTTCAGCAGTATGCATTTAACAGTTTTAGACCATAGATGATGAGACATGAGATTCTTTAAGTCAGGATGCAATGTTGTGTGCTTTAAATTGTACTCAACAGCATGTCAGACTTTTGTGTATTTTATCTATTTATGGCATAAATTACAAGATATAGGCTACTGATAACGAATTATTTGGCTCTTGTCAATGTAGTGCCATTTTAAAATAGGTTAGTTTATAGCCTGTACTAAACCTTTTCTTACAGTCCTATGTCACCACACCCTCAAACAGACAAAAGAAGTTCCTGCTTTATCCATTTCCAAAAAACACAGACAATGCAAACACACAACAGCACCTTGCAGGTAAAGTGTTCGCATATTAAAACTTTCTTTCGTTGGAGCCCATGGTGTGGGTGCAGGTAACGAAATGTAGGGAGTGCAGTTTTCTTCAAGTGGCAAGTTAAAATGATGGAGGCTTTACCTTGTATGTGCTGGTTGACCACATTCTCCAGCCGATCGAGTCTCTCCATGATCCGGAGAGTGTCACCTCTTTTGTCACCCTCTAACTTTCTCTCCGGTAAAGGCATCGGGACTTTGATGTAAATATTGGCGATGTAATTAGTAACCCATCCGACATAGAGCAGGCAAACAATGTTGGTCATGCCGCTCAGGATCACGCATGTGGACACCAAAGTTTTGGTTCTCCTGGTGCAAGCCATGCCGACATCCCTCCATACAGGCTGCAGTATCCTGTTAAACCGGAGGACAGGGAGACAGTCGCCCGCAACAAAAAAAACAAACAAAACCCTGGAATAATGAAGTTATTTCCAGCGACTGTGCAGCGATGCTATATCCGAAGCACAGAGCCTTTACTTCAAAAGTCCCTTGTGTTTTTTTGTCGATGGTGAAACGCAGGTTAATGTCAAATACCTACAGGTGAAGGTTCCCTCTCTCGCTCCATCGCAAACCTCAGTCGGCTCTAGTTGCGTTTGAGGATCAAGGAAACAGGAGAGACACCGAGCATCCTGCTGCAGCCAATGAGAAGGATGGTGAGGACTGACAACCGCCCCTGCTTCACGCGTCCCCGCTGCGCACTAATTTACTGTGAAAGTGGATCTGACCGGACTATTTGAACACAAAGTATTATAACCCATTTCTGTCCAAACTGCGATATATTGCGCCACACCGACCTCATACTGCACAATTGATGTGTGATTTGTTTCCTCAAGCAGTGAGACAAATCCAGCCGAAGCGCGTTCTCAGAGAATTGTTTATTTTGTTCATAGTCTCATGCACGAGTAGAAAAACACTTCTGGAGTTATTGCGATGTGGGGTTTTTTTTCCAAACGAGCACGAAGGAGGGAGTAGATTCTTTGCTGCAATACTGGATGAAGCCACGAGATAGAGACAACGGGTCTCAACGAGAGATCAAGGTGTGGTGGGGTCATGTTATGCTGTAGGTCTGGCTTAGGTCCAGCTCACTGTGAGACACACAGGATGCAGGGAAGAGGATGCACTCATCTCATATGCTGCTGCAATTAGACCAGTGCAGGGAAATGATACCAGGCAGACTACTTACAGTAGAACTGCTCAAAGAGCTCCTGTAGCCTATAGGCTCCCTTTTTGTGACACCGGGTGATTATTGGAGTTTAAATTGTGGGATTTTCTGTTTGGGGTGCCAAGGAAGAAAATCCTGGCTCCTTAAATGGCTAAGCAAAACGGGGGGGGGGGGGGGGGGGGGGTTAAAATGTACCCATTGTGAAGAGGGTTTTGCCTCTCCATGCAGTAATTCTCATATCTGCAGGAGTGTAATATGCTCAGTGCAGTAGAGCCTAAAATTGTATGTGTCTGACAGCTGTTTTTTTACTTTTCTATGTATCTGAGGTTGGTTGACATGTCATTTCTTGCAAGTCGTCCTCCTACTTTTCAAGAACTTTAAATAATTTTCTTTGATTGAGGACATCTTGCATTGTCTGTACCTGGATCCTTTAAATGCACAGGGAAACACCAGCATCTGCATGAATGTCAGGTCTACATTTTCACCAAAATTCTTGCTTGTGTTTTGACAGTATTTTCCAGTATCACGACAGCAGATAATTATATTTGCTAACCACAGTCTTCGTCATCCAATGGCTGCCAGAGTGAAGGTATTGTATTAGAGGATGTAATAATAAATGTTACATCAAAATAATTCATGAATAATTTGGATAAATGGAATAAACAGTATTATTGACACTGTTATTATTGACACTTTATTACCCATATTTTGGCCTGGATGACTATGACATGTTTGTGAAGTATGACAGGGAAAGAAAACAAAACAAACACATTGGTTCACAGTAATAATTGAATTGTGGCCGACTGCTATCATACACCTTGATTATACAGAACAGAATCAGTAAATTGAATTGACAGCTGGAAATATGCTGCCATGTAAAACAGAAAGAGCTTTCAACCTGATTATTTTCAACTCCAATGCATATCTATCACTTCACATTAAAACATTCTTTGGCATCAATAATTTATTTTGTCAGTCAAACAGCATCAGTATTACCTGATTTAGCCTTTCCCCCATAATCCAGATCTTATGACAGGCCTCCTCTGTCCTGCAGCCATTCATATATATAATGCAGGAGCATGCTGGTCATTCATCTCAGCTAACAGACCTGCCACAGTGCAAAATGGTATTTCTTTTTGTTTGCAATATGTGAAGGGATTTTCTATTTTCTAGTTACATGGATGTGATGAAAAAGGGTTTTCTCTTTTGTTTTGCTCATGTGGTGTCGTTTAAACCCATGACATTCTAATATACTGTAGGATTTTGTGCCCTCCAGGTGCATTTGATGGTACAAACTGTGTTTTACCGAAGGTCTATTATAAGAGGTTTGAATGCTGGTTATGAACTTATGTAAGCCAATAAATTACAAAATCAATTACCAGAAAAGAACTTTTTTTTTGGGGGGGGGCAAACATTTCTCAGCCAAACATTTCAGTTTCACACTTGGGAGGATCTTTTGTCATTTGTCTTTGTTGGACCCCAATGTACATCTTCAGATGTATTGCTTTTTCTGACCAACTGTCTAAATCCCAAAAATACTCCGTTTGCAGTGATACAAAACAGAGAAAAGCAACAAACCTCATATTTAAAAAATCTGGAACCAGAGAGTGTTTGGCATTAACTGAATGTCATAATATTGCCCATTAATTTTCTGTCAATTAATCCATTAGTCAGTCAACTAATCTTTTCAGCTCTGGAATATTGAGAAGGTAATTTTTCCCAATTTTCAGACATTTGATAGGCCAAAAGAGGCCAAATATTCAACCTTGCACCACTTTCTTCACATGGGGCATCATTGTCACATCATCTAAAATATAAATTTGAAATGTGAATTAATATTTCATTGAAATCTGCAAAGCATTTCATTATTCTCATCAAATCTTGGGATAGTGCCTCATACTGAGTTCAAATGGCCTGTGTGATGCTTTCCAGACTGCAAACAGCGCACAGTGTAGAGATGAATGCCATTAATGTGGACTGAAACTATAATGAGAATTATATTTTGGCTAAGTCACCAAACAGTCACATTGAAAGACTGGTTCAAAGATTAGCTTGTTTTCTAACTAACAGTGTGGTACACCATGATTTATGAGTGTCTTTGGCAAGTACTTTCAGCTGTGTTTTCACTTTATGTAATGACCTTATCTGTTTTAAAGGGCAGTACTAGAAAACAAAGCTCTTCCTTGTGAGTACAATCACTGCATGTCCTGGTAACACAAAGAGTAGTCATGAAGACAACCTCAAAGCCATGTACACATTTAATTGACAAGCCATAAACACCTGCAGGTGCAACTTCTATCGATTTCGTTTGAATTGGGGCCAGCCTCAGGGACACTTTGAGGTTGGTATTAGGGACCTACGATCCTCCCGCTGAGTGATCCACCCAGCCAAGCAGCTGTCACATTTAGTCTGAATGAATGGTCTCCTTCTGGGCTGATTAATTACTGTGTGTGAGAGGTTATCCTGTAATCATCACTGTGAGGTCCAAGAGATAAAGACACTACCACTGTAAGATCCTCATCTGTGGAGACAGCAACGATTAATCAACAAGCCACAGACTTGACATATAAGCATTAGGCCTTGACAACACGGGAAAGATAAGTAAATAATTGTGCTAATTTTTTACTTTTAAACCATCTCCTGAAGTGGTGACTTTAATAAACTCCTAAGCATTACAGAGAATTTGTATATACAGTCTTTTCAACATTGAGGCAGAAATTTGTTGAAAGACACCGAAGCTCTACCAGCTTCAAAAGGTGCTCTCACAATCCCCCCAGTAAATGGTTGAAATGGTTGACACAAATCCACCCTTCATGTTGTGTGGAACGCTAACCCTTTATTTTGAGCTCTCTGTGAGGCGGGACAAGAAAAAGAAAATTTCCCCTGAGACACAGGATCACTTTCAATTAATTCATGTTTAAGTAGTTGCACACTACTGATTGTTGTACAGGAGCAACAGCTGAGTAGGAGGAATAAAACTGGGCGAGGAACAGCCAAACTCAGCTAGCAAAGTGAGGTCACTGAAGACATTTTACTGTCATACGTCATACGCAAGACTGCACAGCAACAAGACACAATACAGCATCAGCAAGGTCTCTCCCAGGCAGAAATTTCAAGGCAGACAGGGGTTTCCAGATGTGCTCTTTTGAAGAAGCACAAAGAAACTGGCAACGTTGAGGACCGTAGATAAAGTGGTCAACCTAAGAAACTTACTGCATAGATGAAAGACACATCATGCTTACTTCCCTTTCCAACTGGAACATGCCCAGCAGTGCCATCAGCTCAGAGCTGCAGAAAACAGTGGGACCCTAGTACCTTCATCTACTGTCTGTAAAACTCTAATCAGAAGTTGCCTTCATGGAAGACTTATGGACAAACAACCATACCTCTGACAAGGCCAAGTGACTCAACTATGCATAGAGCACTGGACCTGGGGTGCAAAAAAATGGCAGCAGGTGCTCTGGACTGGTCAAAATTTTAAATATTTGGCTGCAGCAGAAGGCAGTTTGTTCACACAAGGGCTGAAGAGGGGTACAAGAATGAGTGTATACATTCAACTGTGAAGCATGGTTTTCATGTTTGGGGCTGTATTTCTGCAAACAGAGTTGGTGATTTGGTCAGAATTAATGATGTTCTCAGTGCTGAGAAGTACAGGCATATACTTATTCTTCATGCAACACCATTAGGGAGGCAACAATTGGCCCAACATTTTTTCTGCAGAATGACAACAACCCCATACAGCGAACGTCATTGAGAACTATCTTCAGCAAAAGAAGAACAAGGAGTCCTGGAAGTGATGGTATGGCCACCATTAAGTCTGTCTGGGATTACATGAAGAGAGAGAAGCAACTGAGGCTGCCTAACTCCACAGAAGAACTGTGGGTAGTTCTCCAAGATGTTTGGGCCAACCTGCCGAGTTCCTTCAAAAACTATGTGCAAGTGTACCTAGAAGAACTGATGCTGGTTTGAAGGCAAAGGCTGTTCACACCAAATATTCATTTGATTTACATGACTTATACGTAACCTTTTTTCCAAGTTTTCCAAGACACGTTTTGATCAGGAATTAAATATTTTAAAAACGTCTTTGCAGTTCAAGCAGCAATTTAATGAAAGAAAACTATGAACTAAAACTATTCATGTCACATGACACAAACTGGTCTTTCTTTCTGAGCAGTGTGTGTGTTCATACATGGGAAACAGCTAAATGGATGCTCTTGTTCTCATAATTTATAATCACACAAAACATTTACACAAGAATCAGTTGGATGCAGTTTTTTTGTGCAGACTTTTTATCCCCTAATTCAAGTATTATTAATAGTCTTCACTGCCAACAGCTGAAGGACAAAAAATCTGATTAGAATCAAAGTCTTTTTTTACCTACACTAAAGTGTTTGGAATATTTGAATATTAATTTTAAATAAGCCCACATATATAGGTAAGCAGCTGCAAAAC